AAAAAGAAATATATATAGTTCAGATTTGTTCTCACGATTCTCAATTATAAAATTGTTTTCATTTGAACTCAAGTTTATATAATTTGTTTATTGCAATTTTTAGATATATCATATGTTTTAATGTTAGTGTACAATCGATAACCAAATAACCTCGAAATGAATTAATTAATTACCTCCAATCGATTGGTTGATGTTCCTTCAACTTCACCTGCCCCTTGAGAGTGTTGATGCGGTATACCCTGCAACCGATCCAATTGGAATTGGAAATAACTATATAGACAGATCAAAAAAAAAGCCGAGAAGGAAAAGAAGAATAATGGGCTTACAGGATTTTCATGTTTCCATTGAAGATGCAGCGCTTCACGTAGTTTAATGACAATTTGATCTATATCTGGGCGGTCTGACCGTTGATCCTTCAAGCAGTCATACGCTATTTTTGAAAATACGTCAAGTGATAGTGGGTCCATGTTTTTCCGTAGATCAGGATCGATGAGGTCAGATAGTTTTTTCTGTTTATAAAGAGATATGGCCAATGGAGCTAATAAATGTTCTTCCGGAATACGCAGGTGCCCAAGCCTCTGTTCATAATGGAATCTGGCAGAGGGAGCTAAGGTAAACATGCACATATCCAGGGGATTTAGTGCAGGACGTTGCTGCTTATTGACGCTTGATTCTTCTTCTCCGCCTATGGGGTTGGGGATTGATGATGCAGATACCTGCTTAAAATTGCCGGATGATGATATTGAAAAGTTTCGCCCAGATCTTGTCCTGATTTGTTCAAAAAATTCGGAAATTGATGGCGCCTGCATATGTCCTGATAAATTCCTACTAATTGATGGTGGCATTCCTCCTGTAATATCTGGTATATTCCGGAACGACTGTTGGCGCATTTGTTTTGATGACTTGTTTGGTTGGTTTCCAGCTGCTAAGCTTACGAATGATGTGGTGCGTGATGCTACTGAAAAGTTTCTGGATGATGACGCCGGCATTGTTACCGATAAATCCCTAGTTGAAGCCATATGGATTTGACTCTGAGGCCGCTTTCCATTTCCTACAAATGAAGGGTAGTTTGGTGTGGGCTGACCTGATGAACTGAAGTTTTGTGGCTCTCTGGAATGTTGTTTAGGAGAGTGTTTCTCATGATCAACAACGTGATCACCTGATTCTTCTTTCAAATCTTGTTTTTCCAATTGAGTTGAAAACCATTCAGGTTTATCGAATGCTCTCCTCCCACACAGGACTTCAAATAATACAACCCCCAACGAGTACACGTCAGACTTGTGAGTGACGCCTCCAGTCTTTTCATATCTTGGGTCTATATACCCTATCGTGCCACTCAAACGATCAAGGAGAAGCCGGTGTCTTCGAGCGGTTGTATTTTTCATTGAAAGTTCAAAACCGGATAACTTGGGCTTCCAGTTGTCATCTAGTAAGATTTTTGAGCTCTTAATATTACGATGTATCACGCTAAAATCGCGTTCCTTATCATAATGGATGTAACTCAATGCACGCGCAACACCAACACATATCTCCAATCTGTGCATCCATGTAAGGGACAGGTCGTTGAGATATTTGTCGAGACTTCCATGGGTCTCACGCTTGTTTATGATGATCTTCTCGCCCTTCTCATCACAATACCCAATCAGAGAGACCAGATTGTCATGCTTGAGAGCAGAAAGCAATGTAATCTCCATCAAAAACTCTTTCTTTCCTTGCCTGTACTCTGGATCTAACCTCCGTGCAACAATGTCGATCGGTTGACTGGAACGAAGGAGTTGTCCTTTGTAAGTCTTTCCGAATCCACCTCGTCTGATGAGATTTTCATCAGAAAAGTTGTTGGTGGCGGTTGCTATATCTTCAAATGGGATTTTTAAGTCGCTAATTTTTTTGGAAGATGACGAAGACATGGTATTTGTGTGTTATCACGTAAAAAGGAGAGAGGGCAACAAATGAATTATATGAAGGGGAAGACGACGTTCGACGTATGTATACAAATCCAGCGAGCCTAATCCATCGCTAGTGTTTGTATTTTAATCCCAATTAATAGTAGATTCACAAGTTGCAGTACTCTATTATAAAAATAAAAACATAAAAATAAAATAATAATAATTAACAGTCTATAAAACAAGATTAAAAACTAAAACTATAAATGCAAGCAGGGTATTCAACTTCGAGATCTTCTAGCTAGCAAAAATACAACTATCATTAACAAATGTTAAAAAACCATATTTAGTAGACTTTGTTTTATTATTTCGTCAGCTTAGTCGTTGTTCATACGATTTATTAATTAGTATCCATCGTCAATCTATTAAATAGATCGAATCAAATATAAAGATATGTTAAATTACGATTAGTATCAACTGGTACCTGCTGGCTGCTTATACCGTGAAGTTGACACATCAACTAATACTCTTATACAAACAATTTTTAGTATTAATAAACTCTTCTAACTAACATTGATTCGTAATGTTCAAATATTTAGCATAATGTTTATACTCTTACCCAAAAATAGCCCCCAGTCTGCCTGCGGTTGTTACAAAATTGACCATCCATTTTCCACTATAGGTCCTCTGCAAAATTCCACACTTCCAAAATAACATCTCCACTTTTAAGATATTTTTTCAGATTTTTCTCAGGGTAATATTATTTTTTTCATTTTTCATTGAGAAATGCATTTCGAAATAACTCTCCAATTAGTACTCCACTTTGGACTATCAAATATCTTTGTTGACAATTTGATTTTTGAAAAAAAAAAAAAAAAAAACCTACAAAGGTTATGAATTTATATACAATATAAGTACTTTCGCAATATACATATTATGAATGTTGTAAGAAAAAATTTTGTTATAGAAAAAAAAAGATTTTTTATATGCAGGTCCACAGAAAAATAAAAAAGATCGATGGACATTTTATTAAAATCATCAATTTTTTTTTTTTTTGCGATTTCCCTCTAAGCTATATCATTTTACTATGTATCAAGTTGTGAATTACAATGATCGAATTGAAGATATTACAAATTTATTTTATCCTTACAACATTTTAATTATGAAACAACCTTCCAATGGACTATTTGAAATTAGTTTATCCAAAAACACAATTTCAACTTTAAAACCTTCTACATATATGAGTTGCGAAATTCAGTCCCAAAATATCCAAAATCACATGGTTTAATAAATATGCGAGGAACATACAACTACTAACCATAATATAATTTTAGTTTAGGAGCAAAGTAGGGTTTTAGAATAAAGGTAGCTAAAATCATAACAGATATTAAAATATATTCTTATCTAAATATCATCGGTATGTAAATTTAAAATTATAATACTAGTTGTACGATATTACTATATATTTTTTCTAGGTTGTGTCGTTTATTATGCAATCGTAGGTCATGAACATCGTTTTGTTTGAAAAAAATCGATAATTTTATTAGCTTATGATTTACTTTACATTTAGAAGAAATCAAATTATGATTAATATATAATACTATTATTTGTAAATTACAAAATATTTAGAATATATAATAAATTTATAAATTACCATGGCTTGAAGGCTTTAAATGGCGAAGCTGCAATATGTCTCCAAAATAATTATCGAGGATTAGGAATTACAAGTAAATAATATATACTATTTATGCAGTTAAATATAGACAACTAAATAAATAGGAGGGGCCATGGCCTTAATTATTTGTTCGGCACGGAGCGTTTGGGAGCGTTTGAGAGCTTCTAGCTTCTAGCGTTTGACAAAACGTTCCGTTTTGAACAGAAAGTCATGTTCGACACTACAAGCTTCTAGCGTTTAGTTTAAACAAAACGTTCCAAATCCAAATGCTACTTCATGTAGTGTTTAACAAAACACTATAAGCTACAAGCTACCCGCTACTCGCTACAAGTCACCCGCTACCAGCTAATTTTGCCGAACACGCCCTTAGAATTATAGCTTTTATTGGATGAGTTGGCCAATTGAGGGAGGCGTAGCATTCGGCTGCCCCCTCCGACACTGTTTTAGTTGTATCAATTACATCAATATATATATATATATATATATATATATATATAATATATATATATATATATATATATATATATATATATAAGTCTTCTAAATTCCTGCCTTGCTAACCTCCAATAACCAACCAAAGATAACTAATATGATTATACGTCAAAATAGTATGTTATGTTAGAATTTAGAAAAATCTAAGAGTCAATCTCTTAAGGATATAGGAAAGTGCAACATTCCAATCCCAAACCTAAAGTTAAACTCTTAAGATAGTTTTGATAAAAACAATCTTGTGTTACACCTGGCGTGATCCATGTGTGAGGATTGATTAAACTGGACCGTATGTAGGGGATTGCATGTATACTATCTTTTTCTTTTATTTGTTTTTTTAAAAGAAATGTATGGATTGGGTTGGGAATATAGTCGGGAATAGGTGTAGTGACTAGTTTGTAATCTCCAAAGAAGAAGAATAAGAAGAAGCAAGACTTTGGGGGCTAGATCACCAATTAAAGTATGCCACCCTCATAAAGTATGTAGACAATTTGATGAACAAGTTTTTGTCAAAATCGTATGTTTCGCATTCATTTTGACCTTTTCTTATTCTTAAAACATGCTTCGTTGACTTCCAGAAGCATAATATGCCAAACATGTTTAGTTAGGATACGAATGATATAACTCAAGGTTTGACTTGAATTTAAAAATAGTAATGTGTATATACTAAATTCTTCAAGAAAATTGATATAGGAATTGCAACTATTTGTCTCTTGAACTTAGCCTCGCCTTGTTATTCCTTACTAATTACTAACCGAATTTGCTCCTGGCTTCTCTTCTCTATATGCTTGACGAGATTGGGAGAAAGGGAAACCAAGCTTTAAAATTACAACAACAAAAAAAAAACCCACAAGTCCACAACATATGGGGGAAAATCCTTCAAATAAACACAAACTCCTTTAATTAAGGTTTCGGCAGTGAACTTTATGTCGAGAAGTTACAAACAATTAATTTTAGTTACCATGAGTCAGTGCTCCGGCCGACGGCGGCCGCTTAGTCATGGATCCATAATGAACTTTCAAATGTTCAGTACCTGAAGTCGATTATTGAGGATTGACATCGTTAAGGGAGGGAGGAATAGCAACAAGATCTTTTATGTCCAGGTTTTGGGTCAAAGACAGAGGTCTTGGAGCCACATCTTGAAACGATAGTGGTTTGTCATTTGTATAATCGGATCACCACGGTATTGCCCGTCTTCTGCTGAAGAACGCACAAGCTTCCTGACTGCTGAGCAAGATGGCGGGTTGTTGTTGGTACTACCGGAACCAGCACGGTTTTGGCTGTCTTCTACCTGAGAAGGCCAAAACTTCCTAGATGGTGCTTGAGACATCAGAGGAAGAGATGTTGAATTGTTGAACGTGATTCCAGATTAAGAAGGCTACTTATAAGAAGAACACATGGACATCTAGTAACATTGCATTTTCCCTTTTGAAATAATTAGTCAATGTAATTTCTCATTTTCTTTATGTGTTTTATGACTGTTGAGAAAGAAAGAAAGAAATATAGATAGAAAAAAAAATACAAAGTGTCGAAGAGCCTACTTTTACAGGAGACGACGAGGAGTGCCTTTTAGAGGGAAATCAGCAGTTGGTTGGTACACACGCGCACAGTGGTAAACTCTCAGCAATCCAGGCTCCGACAAACAGAGAAAATGACAGAACGCTTACGAACAATCCGGCGATCGGAAAAGAGTACAAGGCGGCAACGGTCTTAACAGACGACGTTATTCTTCTGGTGGGTTTCGAGATGGTTTTTTTCCAACTGCGGTATAAAATTTTGGGTTTTAGGTTTACACTTTTGAGTTTTCTTAAAAGTTTGAGTTAACTCGTTGTAAATTCTATTAAATCTTTAGGTTTTTATAGATTTAGTAAGGATATTATTTCCTTATTTTGCAGATTCATAAAAAAAATAAGGTTGGTTTTTGATTTGGTTATCGATCTTCCGAAACTTTTGTTATTGTTTTAGTTAATATCTAAATTGAGGCCAAGCTTGATAGACCAGACAAAATATGACACGACACGAAAACCCGACATGAAATTAGCGGGTTAGGGTCAGAGATTTTAACACGTTTATGTAAACGGGTTGACACAACACGACACGATAATTAAACGGGTAGGGCTAGGGTCAAGACTTTCAACTCGAAGATGACTCGAATATGACCCGTTTAATTATATATTATATATTATCAATTTCATATTTTTATAAATATATTATATGTTATAGACTTGTAGTGGGCCAAACTCAAGAATTAGAAATAATATTCAAATTTTCAAAGTTACTTAATTTTACTCATCCTCACCCATTATCCCCTTTTCTCCCCAACTTCAACTCTTTTCATTTTGCCTTTTAAACTTACTATTTTTTTTTCATTCCATCTCCTAACTCCAATGTTTCACTTTTTCATTTTTGCATCCATAACTCCTACTTTCCAACCTTTAAAATGTTTCAAGCAGACATGACACAACATATTTACAATGTCTAGACCTTAACCCGAAACCCTACATGAAACCGACACGAAAATATACGAGTTGACACGATATAACACGATAATTAAACGGGTCGGGTTAGGGTTAAGCCCTTTCAACCCGTTTAATGTCTTGACACGACATGAACTCGACACGACACGACACGTTTGCCGGGTCTAAAGCTTGACATTCAGAAGAGCAAAAAGCGGGGATGTCATGGCCCCTAAGAGGGCCCGCCAGTGGTCAAATGGTCTATGTTTGTAATGAGAAGTATGATGGTAAAAATATGATGTCTTTATGTTCTTTGAAATCACACTTGTATTTGTGGAGCAGGTGAAGCAAAAGCAAACAGGAGCCAAGAGAATGTTGTTCTAAGTGTTGAATCAAGTTTTTGTAAAAGAACTCCAAATCAAAACAATTTGAAGCAATTCAGAAAGATGTTATTTAGCTAAAACAATATAATTTTAATGGTAATTCATTTAATTTGTAAATAATATTTAATAGTATTGAATGTTTTTATAAAAAAAAGTGTAATGAATTTTATTTCAATGTTGCACTACTACAAATGGGCGCACAGAAGGCACCTCATAAGATCCGGTTGTTTAAAAAACCGGGTTCTAATATACAAAAACCGGGCTAAATGAAGGCAAACTTTATAAGACCCGTTTTTCATTAAGAAACCGAGATCTATTGTGTAACTAAAAAACTCGGTTTCTGTCACAACAACCGGGGGCTTTAAGTAAAAATAATACAACCCGTTTTCTTTAAAAGAACCGAGCCTTAAAAGGCTAATACACGAATTACAACACGATCATTGAACCCGTTTTTCAGCAACCTGCTTCTTTTGAACATATTCCCTATCTGCAGCACCAAAAAACTAATTAGGAGATTTAAATATTAAACCTTATCAAACAAGTAAAACCCAAATAAAACTATCGATCATATATTTAATTTTAAAGCTAACTTTTAAGATTATCACTAAAAAGCAAATAAGATTATAAGATAAAAACCTCTTTCTGAAAATAATAATAATAATAACAAACAAGATTATCACGTTAGACAAATCATGAAACAAAATGTATATTTTTTAACTTCATCAAATCAAATAATGATAGAATATTTAGAGGATAATTTCCATTACTTTAGGGGATTGGTTAGTTTATTGCTATATATTATAGTTATTCCACCATGAAGTCATGAACGCATACAGAAGATCAGAGGACGAGAAGAAACTAGAATCTGTTTGGTATGTATCTATTACTTTTAATAGTTTTACACTTCATCTGCAATTCCACTACATTAAAGATGACATATGTTGACAAAGATTTTTTATTGTTAATTTATAACAGGTAGAAAATCAAGACACGCCATATAAACCAGAAGGGGATTGTAAGCTACAACAAAAGTATTCTTATTCCTTATTTATTGGTAAGTATCTCTAATTGTAGTGTTTATCAATAGCTTTATATTTTTTTGATTTGTTGAAATTCCAATGAAGTAATTGATAGCATATTTGGACACAAAAATAAAAATTTGTTTATGTATGCAGAAAAACAGAGACCTCATATATGAATGGTGGAAAAGTGTAAAGTACAATACAATTACTATTCTCTTTTAAGTCTTGGTATGTATTTGTAATCCTACTGTTTGCTTTTATTAGCTTTACCATTTTCTGTATAATATGTGATTAGTTGGTTTTGGAAATAAAAATATTGTTTTCAATAAACATAAATTTATGACAATTAAGTGAAGCAAAAAAAAGTAGTAATCCTTATTACCTGCAAAAAGGTTATAGTATGATAGTAGGACGAAGATCTCTTTGTAATATGGAACTTAAGGTTACGAGAGCCTATAATATAACCAATCACACAACAAATAGAGATTAGAACATATACATAATACTAATTCAAGAAGCTACTTTAACAACATTAGAAAGCAAAAGATGCATAGTGAACCTCTGAGTCCGAAGTTAAGGCCTTCTTCATTGGAGATATGCAGTACACTAGTGGTCATATTTTCTTCCAAAAGTGGCTTGAACCTGAACTTGACACATCTAGAAGTAAGAAGTTCTATGATCCTGCATCATCTGGTAAAAAAAATGGAAAAAAATGAATATATAAAAAGAGAAGATGAAGTATAAAACAAGATCAAATCAACAGAACTTGAAAAGAACATATTATAAGTATATTATCATGAAACAAAAAGGCAATTAATTTTGAACAACACAAACACAAACATGCTAATGTATTTGCATATAAAAAGCCGTCTTTTTTACTTTGGAGTATGATGAGTAGTAAACAGAGAGAGGAGATTTGTAGTGTAAAGAAATAATAAATCAATGGAAAGTAATGAATACTTGATAAAATGAAGAGAAAATTGAATGATTGTATTTCTAAGCAACCAAAATCATAAACCAAGGAATGTTCCCTTCTCTCTATCACAAATGATACTGAGAGCCACAGTACAATTCTTACACCTCACACCACTCCTTTCTTTATATTCTCATTTCTCTCTCTTCTCAAATGATTGTTTTGCCCTTCTAGAGTATACCCGCATTACTCTTGGTTTGGGAACATGTTGTGCTAGTATTTCCCCATTTGTATCAGATTAGGTTTCCATTGTACGACATAAGGCATTCTGCAACACACTATGAAAACTATAAGCACATGCTTGAAGTTCCATTACCAAGTTAACCTTCTTTATTGCAGCCCAAGTGAAAACATCACCTGAATCAGAAACAACAGTATGCTTGTTTGCTATAGCAATAGCAACTATCTTTGACCTTAATGGGCTAACCCTTCTTAGGGTCGCTTGACTATCAACAAAACTATAACCAAGTTTATCCTCTGCAAAAAATCACCATGAAACATCATCAATATAACATATAACTGATCACTCTGTTTGTATTCTTTTAGGGTAAATAAGTAATTACATCCGTTAGAACCCTCTGTGACAACAACTGTATGATGTTTAGCTTAGCAGCTGCTATTGCCTTAACTCACTTCATGAAATCACCAAAGGCATCTGCTAAGGATGAATTCACCACAGAAATTATAATTTAGATTTCTGATAAAGTGATAATCATAATCTGATAAGTGATTAACTGATACACATTAACATTACTAATTACTAATTACTACTGATTATAGTGATTTCCGATTCAAGGCTGCCAATTGGAACAAAAACCCAATATCCCAATCAAAGTTACTAAACTGGAACAAAGAGAAAAATAGAAAACTTTTACCGGAATATCGCTGATTTCAGGCTTCAGAAGGCACAACTGGAACTGGTTTTTCTAATTAGGTTATCTTCTCGACTGGATTTTGGAATATGACTTCTGGTGGTGGTGGTGTGTGGTGGACTGGTCGAAGACAATGATGAATTGATGATTCCGTTAGTCGATTAGCTAAAAGTAAGTAGTATAAAAAAATTAGGGCCCTTAAAAGAAATAGGCCATGTACACGTGCCCGTATTGCCCCTGCCTATCACCGGCCCTGGCTGGAATACTGATTTTACACACATACATACAACAAAACATAAGTTAGCAGATAGGAAACAAAAAACAAAGAGAGATTATGAGAGGTTTAGTTGTTATTTCTCGCCCCAAGGTCGAGAGTTGTTCAGCAATGGCGACATCCCCTCTCACACTGTAACTTTCCCACACTTTTGTTTTTTTTTAGGAGGAAAAATAGTGAATATGAATAGGTTCAGTTCTAATTATATAGAGTAACAGGGAATCGGCTGATTGGGGAAAAAAATCCCACATGAGATGATTGAAGTTGGGGAGGAGATATGAAGATGAAGATGAGATATGTGTTTGTTTCGTATGTCTGATATTATAAAAGACCTTAGATAGAAAACTTTTGGCAGGAAAACAAAGAAAGGATTGCCGCTAAATTTTTTATTTTTTATTTATATGCATTCTATTTTCTAAACTTATTTTTTATTTATATTCATTCTATTTTCTAAACTTATTTATTATTTATATTCATTCTATTTTCTAAAGGTATTTTTATCTTTCTATAAACTATAATGAATTATGATATGATTAGGTCTAACATACCAAAAATATGAGTAAATAATTTATTTTATTATTAAAACTCAATTGAAATAATAAATAGTAACAAGTTGTTCAATTATCTTATTCATTTTAATTTATTAGGCGTGCTTTTTTATCATCATATTAGCTCCAATAACAATGATAATAATAATTTATTTTATTACCTAATTTGTTATATTACTTGATTTATTGTCCGTTTGAACATTACAATAATATGAATCTAACATATTGAATGTGAAAATAATATATTTTTATTACTTACAAGCACTCGATCGTATTTTTTTTAGTAGGAATGTTGTATTAGGTATGTTACATATGCCTTTAGGCGCATTGGTTGTCCTACATGCATGTTACTAATATATAGTTTGTGTAATGACAGATGGATCATAGTTACTGGATGTATGGAATTAAACGTTCATGCGATGAATATTTGGCATGTTTGAATGGTTTTCTTAAAGTTGCAAAGGAGAATCGGGTGAATAAAGGAGAAAGATACATATGGTGTCCTTGTGTAGATTGTCAGAATTGTTGTATGTACACTGATTCCGCCAAAATAGAAGAGCATTTGATAATTCGTGGGTTTATGAGAGATTATACGTGTTGGTCACGACATGGTGAGATATTGGTTGATCATAATGCAGCTGCTTTAGAGTATAATGATGATATTGATGATACAAACGATAACAACTATGATAACTTATCTGGAATGTTACATGATTGTGAAGACAATGTTGCTGAAGATGATTATGAAAATTTTGCAACAATTATTTGATGAATCAGAAAAACCGTTGTACACTGGGTGTACAAAATTTACCAAACTATATGTCGTGTTGAAATTGATTAACTTAAAAGCAAACAACGGTTGGAGTGATACAAGCTTTACAAGTCTTCTAAAGATTTTGCATGAGATGCTTCCGGATGATAACGAGCTACCTGTGTCCACATACCAAGCAAAAAAATTGATGTGTCCGATGGGAATGGAAATTGAAAGAATACATGCTTGCCCAAATGATTGTATGTTGTATCGAAACGACAATGCAGATCTACATAGTTGTATTACATGTGGTACATCACGATACAAAAGGAAAAATCCTACAAAAGAAAACAATAATATGAGAATGAGTGGACCACCTGCTAAAGTCTTATGGTATTTGCCTATCATTCCAAGATTAAAACGGTTATTTGCAAACGCTAAAGATGCAAAGCTGATGCGATGGCATGCTGAGGAGCGTACAATAGACGACAAAATAAGGCATGTTGCAGATTCTCCTCAATGGAGAAATATCAATTCTAAGTTTGAAGAATTTGGTCAGGATATTAGAAATATTAGGTTTGGACTTAGTTCTGACGGCATTAATCCATTTGGAAGCTTGAGCAGCCGCCATAGTACATGGTCGGTTCTTCTTTGCATCTACAATCTTCCGCCTTGGTTATGTATGAAAAGAAGATACATCATGATGTCACTGCTAATTCAAGGTCCAAAGCAACCGGGAAATGACATTGATGTTTATTTATCTCCATTAATCGAGGACATGAAAAAGTTGTGGAGTCCAGGTGTCGAAGTGTATGATGCATATAGTAGGGAAAATTTCCAACTTCGGGCCATGATTTATTGCACCATAAGTGATTTCCCAGCATATGGGAATTTATCTGGATACAGTACAAAGGGGTCAAAGGCATGTCCAGTATGCGAAGATGACACATAATCGGTATGGTTGAAAAATTGCAAGAAAAATGTATACATGGATCATCGAAGATATCTTCCAAATAACCATCTGTATCGTAAGGGCAAAAAAGTGTTTAATGGTAAAACCAAGAGCACGACAGCAAGGACACCGTTACGATGAGAAATTGTATTTTCCCATGTTGAAAATCTAAACATTACATTCAGAAAAACCAAAGGTAAATGGAAACGAAAACATAAACATAATGCCAAAGGTAAAGGTACAACTCCTCTAGAAAATGATATTTGGAAGAAAAGATCTATATTTTGGGATTTACCATATTGGAAGCACTTGCAGGTTCGACATTGTCTTGACATTATGCATATCGAAAAAATGTTTGTGAAAGCTTGATAGCCTTATTGTTAAACATCAAGGGGAAAACAAAAGATAGGGTTAATGTTCGAGATGACATGGTTGAAATGGGGATTCGACCCGAGCTTGCTCCTATTAAGAATACTGGAAAGCGCACGTATCTTCTAGTAGCTTGTTATACCATGTCAAAGGCCGAGAAAACAACTTTTTGCAAGTGCTTGCACGGTGTGAAGGTTCCATCCGGCTATTCTGCTAACATTAAGAAGTTAGTGTCAATGAGTGAACTAAAACTTCTTGGTATGAAGTCTCATGATTGTCATGTTTTGATGGCCCACATGATTCCTATTGCAATTCGTGGAATATTACCAGATCACCTTCGACACATAATCACAAAGTTATGTTTGTTTTTCAACATGATTCATTCAAAAGTTATTGGTCCTGAAGTGTTAGATTCTTGGCAAAGTGATATCATCTTGACGTTATGCCAGCTTGAGATGTATTTCCCACCTTCATTTTTTTGATATCATGGTTCATCTAATATCTCATATTGTTAGAGAGATAAAGTATTGCGGGTCGGTATACCTACGATACATGTATCCATTTGAGAGATATATGGGTGTCTTAAAAAGGTATGTAAGGAATATTGTTGAAGGATATGCTACAGAGGAGGTAATTGAATATTGTACTGACTATTTAAAAGGTGTTACAAGTATTGGCATACCGAAATCTCGACACGAGGGTAGACTTGTAGGATATGGGATGATTGGATTGAAATGGGTAACTCCAAATAAAGAAGACTTGCATCTGGCACATTTTACAGTCCTACAACATATGACGATCATTGCTCCATACGTAAACGAGCACAAAAGATATATAGAAATGTCGAATAGTGGTAAGAGCAAAAGATGGTTGATTACAGAACATAACAAAACATTCTCACAATGGTTAAAAGACAAAGTGAAAGCAAGTTATGGCGTGAACAATGTTGATCAAGCTGTGGTACATCTAGCAAATGGTCCCGAACATGTTGTGGCAACGTACCAAGCGTACGACATTAATGGTTATACATTCTACACTAATCAACAAGATAAAAAAAGTACACTTCAAAATAGTGGAGTAACGTTAGAAACATTGTTGACATCTGAACCATTCCCCATGATAGTAGCCAAACACTTAGAATCATCATGATTAGAAGCATCCATAACTTGTCTTCCCTTATTAGCATCACCTAGAAGAGAAGGTTTTAGATTAATGTTGTTGATAACAGTGGCAGCCTTCTGCAATATCAAATGTTCATCAGAAATTTTTCCCAGTGAGGCACAATCCTTGACCTCCCCTTCTTCCTTACTCAATTCGACATCAGAATCAACATCTGATTCCACCACCACATTACCACTATCATTCCATTTAGAAGATTTATATGTTTTTTTTTAAATGCATACATCTTGTGATTATGAATTTGTATCAGGTGACATGTGATTTTATACATGTTATTTCAGCTTATATAGACGAACACTTGTTTGTACTCTAAACTTTATATGATTTATTTGCTAACTGATTTTATACATGTTATTCCAGCTTATATTATTCTTATATATTTCCTCTAGAGTAAATATGATGAATGATCAGCCACAACAAGAAGTAGAACCACAACCACAGCCACAACAAGAACCAAAACCACAGCCACAACCACAACCACAACCGAGGAAAAAAAGAACAACCACAAAACTAATCGACCATAAAGAGCCACAAGAAGTTGATTTCAACAATATTGGTCAGCATGTTGGGAAGAAACAAAGTAAGTTTGCTAACGAGTGTGGTGTTATTACGAGGTCGATGATTTCTGTTGAATATACGAGTTGGAAGAAAGTGCCAATTGCTTAAAAAGATATGCTATGGTCGGCAATTAAGGTTCGTTATCTACATAAGACCCATTCCATGTACTTTCATCTAATCAAGATGTGTTATTAATACTTAGTATCCTTATTCTAAAAAAACAGAAACGTTGGAATATTCCGAATGACAACCGTAAAAAGATGTGCTTAGAATATGCAACAGCCAGTGGAGAGCCTTTAAGAAAAGGCTTAAAAAGAAATGTGGTAACCAAAGAGATCCACTTGAGACCTAATCATATTTGGAAAGAAGTACATTGCAGAGCTTTAGACAGAGAATATCATCAGAGGAGTTCCAAGTGTGTTGGACTTTAATTGCACGTAATTATATTACTTATTGTGTTGCATTGTTTTAACTGTGTTAATTAATTTCATTTGTAGGAGATAAGTAAGAAAGCGAGGGCGAGTTCAATGCATAATAAGAATCCTGCCCGTGTAGGACCACTTGGTTACAGGGGCAAGAAAGCCGAGTGGGAACAAGAGATGACATCTGGTCAATTGACACCCCAATTGTATCAGATAAAAAGCGAGCGTTAACTGCATTATGTTATGGGTAGAAGATCTAAAAATGAGTTGGGGTCGAACATAATACCGCCTACCATACAACCCATAGTGGACAAGCTTGTAAGCAAATTCTTTTAATCATTTAAATCTAAGTAATTACTCTCACTGGTTTGCTGTTTTCGTTAACAGGTTGATGTCCAGACTCAAATCTCTAAAGGAGATTTGGTGCTCAGTCCAGGAGAGGACTTGTTGACAAAGGTAATAGGACCGGAGCACCCAGGCCGTATCAGGGCTGTTGGTCATGATGTTGGATTGAGAAAAGGGATGCAAGGGACTGATAAAAAAAAGAGGAAAAAACATGAAAACAAAACTATTGATAAACTGCAGGCAAAGATAGATTTGATGGGCTCCCAACTGGCAAAGCTACAAGCACACTTTGACTTACAATGTAACGCCCGTAGATCCGGGCTAGTCAAATTAGAGGCAATAAGTGTCAAAAATGACTTTTCGGCAAAATATTAGTTAGAATAAATAATATTAACCAAGTTGTAGTATATGTTACAAGGTTTCTGTACATATAAAGAACGCCGAAATCTGAGTTATAACGAAGAAGTTATGACCCGTCGAAGTTTCGCGACGGGACCGACACAATACTGGGAAGCGTGGATAGTGAATTTACGATGGAGCGATATTCAGCCATAACGATCTAAATGAAAGTCGTAGAATACATTAAACCGAGAACATCCATAAAAAGAACGCCCAAATCTGACTTCGTATGAGGAAGTTATGATTTTTCTAAGATTCGGCTTAGCAGTGCACGACCCGAAACTCGAATTTTAGTTCGAGCGGTTTTTGGCTTACGTGACCTAAATGAGAGTTGAAGATCTCATTAATAGGAACTCAACGGTAAAAAGACAGACGAAAACGGAGTCTGTATGAAGGAGTTACGAATTCTTCACGTTCATTTAACAGTCTAAACTCCTCCTACTGTTAAATTTAAGTTCGGTCGAGAGTTAGCCAACTGAGTCTAAATGAAAGTTGTAGATCTTGTTTTTACCTACGCATGGATATAAAGAACGTCGAAAATGGAGCTCGTATGCGAAAGTTACGAATTTTTAAAGGTTGCACTCGATTTTGCGAAGCCTGTTGCTCGATCGATGACGTGGCCGGATCCAAGCCGCTGCTTGTTGATCACGCTTCGCCTTCGGATGATGACACCTGTCCTCGCATTACGCCCTGCGTACGCCTCGCACTCCTCGGCCCAGCAAGCTCCACGTCGCACCACCCGGAGACCGACACCTCGCATCCTATCCGAAACTTCGCCCAGCGTAGCCCTTCCGAACGCGCAACGTAGTCCGAGGCTGGCGCCTATAAAAGGCAGCGAAGGCTGCCGACTCTCTTGCACATTTTCCACTCTCTCTCTCTCTAGTTTCTTTCTCTCTCTACAACCCCTAACCCCCCAAAAAGCCTAGGGAACCTCCCTAGCACCCGAAGGAAGCCCCGAGGCTCCCGGAGTCTCGAGAAAAAGGGTCTTTCGGCTCGGAAACGCTGCTCCAATGAAGCCCGGTTTTGCGAAAAAAGTCCACTGTAAGTGAGCTATGTCTACCTTATCTTTAGTATAGCTTATGTTTTAATATAGTAACGTTATTAGGAACTTATAATGAGTATTTGGGCTATTATTATGAGTTATATAAGAGTGTTTCTTAACGCTTATATAATAGTAATAATATCTAGACTATTAATTAGTCGCGGTTAACGTTAAACTAAACTCTAGTGGTAATGATACTAGGTTTTATCCGATGGAAATTGTTTTAACAGTAACGAAGTGCTGTCCGAGTACCAAGTCATCACCTTATCAAGTGAGTGCATGGTTACTTTCATCTTACACATAGATATGAAGTATTTTATATAAACTATGTGCTATGTGTGAATATTATCTGTATAATTGCTATCTATGTTGGATGAACGATTTTATACATGTTTTAAATGATTTAAACTGTATATGTATTTTATATCTACGATAATGTTGGGGTAAAACATGGGTAGATGTAATAGACGGAGTATGAGTTGGATGATGAGTTGAGAGGTGAAATAGACCGTGAGGTGAGGGTGACAGGTGGACAATATGAGAAGCCTTTTTCCCAAATGATGGCCCCGTCATTCAGCAGAGTATGGATGACAACCACGGACTATTCTAGACAGTCCAGTGGAACACTAGCAGGCTCGCAACCTATAGGTGTTGTGAACGATGTGTTCACCAGTGTACTCTAAAAACTCATTGACATGTATTGCGAGTGGATACTGTCGATAAACGAAATAGCCCTGGCAGCTATGGATTTAGTGCCTGTTGAGCAAACCCTGGCAGCTATGGACTTAGTGCCCGTTGAGTAAACCCTGTCAACGATGGATTTCGTGTCGATTCCTTAGGATGATCCTTAGGAATGAATGAACGAGGAGTAGTTGATTCTTAGGGTAGACCCTTAAGAGTAAAGAAGATAATGAGGATGAGTAATTGGGTTAACTGTTTGACGATTAAACATAATAATTATATTATTGTGGGTTGAAAACCCTATGTACTCACCAGGTTTCCCAACCTGACCCACTCAGTTTATTTATATCACAGGTGTCGATATGAAGTCACATTACACTGAGAGATTAAGGAAATATAGATCATTAGTGATAATGAAAGTAAGTTCTGTTTATGCTTATGTTTCTGTATTGACGATGACATCCCAAATGTTTTAAAATGAATAAAAATATTTTCTTCGGAAATGCTTTGATAACGTATTTATCATGTTTTACTGGGAACAAAAATCCGCAACATTTTTATTAAAAGAGGTACTCTGATTTTAATTAAGCATAAACAAAATCGGTCTTTTCTGACCGTAAAAAATAGGGATGTCACATACAACATGGGTCTAGGAACCATGCCCCAGATGATGCAAGCTTAGGGGTTCAACAAAATAATTATGGCTCGACTCCAACATTAGATGCTTTGGATGCGATAAAGGTAAATGAGTGTATTTATTTTCCAGTAACATCTAGAAGCAATAAAAACTAAACCTGTTAACCTGTTAGTAGAGAAATTATGCTCAAGACTAGGGATGAGCAACAAAATTGAGTACTAATGTTTTTCTAATTATTTTTTTAGTGATAATATACTTGTTTAATTGATTTAACTAATATTTTTTTCTTGGATGTTAAACATTGTTTGATTCCATATCATCAGAAGTGGTAATGTATTTCTTTCTATATTCTTATAATTGCACAAATTATTATAAATATATACAATAAGTAAACATTCGTTTGTGAGATATGAACAATGTAGCTAAACTGCACTATGTACAAGAAGTAGCTGCCGTATAATTTAATCTTTGAATTGTTTTGATATTAACTTACATAAATTGCCCTTACAGTTTTATGTTCTATTCATAAGTCACCACTTAGAAACCCATTTTTTCACTTTTTACCCTTACAACCCAATTAACTTGACATTTGCAACCTTTTTTCCTTCTTTTTTTTTTCGTTTTTTGTCCTTATAATATATATGTTATTACAATAGATACATTTTTCTACTTGCCATTTGAAGCACTTTAACTTTTTTTTTTTCATTATTATCTTGAAAAACTATGTTTTTATATATACACGTTGCAAGATCGGTATATGCAATGGTATGGACTTTATATACTTTTCTACCAACAAATACAAATATACCTTAATATCATCATTTTGGTTGCATAATTGAGACAAAAGACTCTAGTTTTTTAATTAAAATGTTTTCTTAGAAGGATTTGAACTATAATAGATATACTTAGAATGGTTAAAAATTCAAATATGGTTATTACATTATTAAGCACTTTTTTTGTTTATTATCCTTCAAAGATCTTTTATTTTTATTTTTGTTTTACTATATGTGAGCAGATGCCTACCCCTTGTGAATTGGTGTTACCCTATGGGGAGTTGGACCAAAAATGTGCAAAGGGATTGGTCTTTTCATATGGGAATGGGTTAATACACACATTGCCTTTACGAGAAAATCACCTGAAGGTTATGATAGACAACATTGATAGATATGAAAACTTTCCTCTTCCTGTGATGACAAAAGAAGTTGCTAACCTACAAGGGGCGGTTGGCACTGTAATTCAATGGCCTCGGATTGCAATTATTCTTGCAAAGGTACATATGCAATATCGTTTACTTTTTCAGCTACTATATAAACAACAAATTATAATTGTATGTCATATTCAAATGAATTAAAATGTAGGAACAAAGAGCGAAGAAACAAATTCCAACCACAAGTTTGGTGCCAACAATTGCAAGGGCTGGTACAAACAAGAACATACCCAACCAAACATCCAGCAAGGCGAGGCCGATTGAATATCTTCGTGATTGCTTGAAGACCAACCAAGTGGTTAACATTGTAGCCGATTCTGGGATTTTGGAAGTCGGGACATATGATTTTTCGGTTACATGTGAAGAATATTTTTGACTGCTGAGAAAACAAACAACTGATGCTTCAATCATAACTGCTTGGCAACTGTAAGTCCATAAAAATTTTATATTATTAGTTGACCATAACATTTTTTGTTTTCTTGTTTGTAGGATTCTTCATTCAATGGTTCGGACACGTATGAACAAATGTGCTTTCTTAAACCCTTATAATATTCTAGGGGAGGCATGCCAGAAAAACCCAGAGGGTGTCGTTAGTTATCTTGTTGATTCCATTCGTCTGCACCATGGAAAATTGTTTCTCATTGCACCATATTTGCAAAAGTACAATAATTTCTTATCTTTATTATTATTATTTTGTTTGTTTTCTTATTATTTATACTAAATGTTTAAACATTTCTAGTAAGCATTGGGTGTTCTTGGTGATTTCCCTTCGCAATCGCATTGTCTATATTTTGGATTCTCTTAAGGATCGTATAGAAAAGTCTGCCGACTACCATTACCTGCTCAAAAAACATGTGGACATGTAAGAAATTACTTACATCATAGCAAGATATAAATCTTTTTATTATTTTGAACACAACACTTGTTTATTTCTTTTAAGGGCTTTCATGAGGTATGAAAAAGACACTTCAACTCCAATTGGATGGATTTTTGCTAAGGTAATTCATCTTGTTATATACCAAAACAAATAATTGTTGTAGTTTCATTTGTTTGATTAATGTTTATTTTTTGCTACAATTTTTAGTGCAACCAACAACTTGGTGGTTTAGAGAGCAGACATTATGTAATGTGATGGATGTTTGATTTCTTGAAGACAAGACAACATGGATTTCCTAGTAAAGTAAGTACCTTTTTAATATTTGTTCATTTTGTTTATTGCAATAAAATATTTGGTTTGTTAATGAATATGTTTAATTTTACATTTAATATAGTCCGGTAGCATTTGGGATGACAAAAGTCCCTTTGAGGAAAATGTGTTGCTTGCAACTGTTGCTACCTGGTCTAGAGAGTTTTTGAATAACTATATGAATGATGTGGTCCTTTAAAAAAGCATATATGGTTAGTTATTGAATTCTAAAACTTCCTAACTTTTGTTTAATTATCTTTTGTTGGAGTTTTTACCTTTTTACTTTCATTTGTTTGTTTTTCAGGGAGGTTAGAAGAAAGAGCCATTACAATTATTTTTTTGGACAATCCCTATGCCAAGTCAAGACAAATGTTTTTTTTTGTAAGTTTTCATGCAAGTTGTATGATGTATGAAATTACCAAATCCACGATTTCTTTTGCTACCTAGACAATTGTCTTTGTTTGATTATATTTTTATCAATGACTATTATGGTTTATTTAACAGTTCCATATAAAAAACATTGTTTATCTGTATAATATGTGTTATAAATTGATAGTCTACAACTATTATACTCTTATTTTTATAAAATTATATTAAAAAAAATATAAGAGTGTTAAAAGGAACCGGTTTCTAATCTAGAAACCAGGTTCTAAACCTATTGTGGAAAAAAGGGTAAAAGTCTATTACGACCCGGTTGTTTGTATGAAGTATGAACCGGTATATATTTTGTTTTCATATGCCCCGGTTATATTGAAAGGAACCGGTTCTAATATCTATAGGTAGTTGGGATGGAAAGTGTTATATGACCCGGTTATGTAAATGCAAACTGAGCTCTATTTGTAATAAAAAGACCCGGTTTAGAACCGGGTTCTATTACAAATTCCACATAGGACTCACCAACATCAAACCCGGTTGCAAAACCGGCTTCTTTAAGCTATAACCGAGTCTTTTAATGCTTTTTGTAGTGGTGTTGTAAGACCAAAATTATTAAAAATTTTGTGTTGAAAAACTATTTTAATTTTATAAAATTTATTTATTTTAATTTCGGTTTATTGTAGTAGTTTGCAGATGTTTAAAAAAAAAAAACATGTTTCTTATTACAGTCGTTTGGTCCATCACTTCTGCTACAGAAGGTTGCTGAGATTTTGGCTTAAAAAAAACAACACCTTGGTCTTAGGTTCTTCCACTTAGAAACGTCTGTATTTCAACTGTAATAACACTTCCTTTTTTTCCAATCATTCATGCAAAAGATTGAGATTACCCATCTTACCCATTATCGATCATATAAACATGTTTTGAATCCATGTAAATGCAACCAAATTATCTATTTAATTTAAATTGATAATCGATTTCAAGATTATGAACCGATTTCAATAGTATAAGAGGACTAGTTCAAAATGTCTACAAAAGCAGCTGAACTGGATATCAGCTAAAAGGTGCGTCTTGCCTCACTTTTGTCTATAGATTTCAAATATTTCATATATTTAACTTCATTTACACAAGTTTGATTTTTTTTTCGATAAATCTTCCATGCACATCAAGCGTTTGATGAAATGTCTGACTGAAATATTTTTCATGAATGGAATGCCACATTGTTGTATGGTATGTTGATATTGTGGTCTGATCAACTCATATAGTATCCTCAAGTTTACTTTGATCGTAGTACTATTGTATGTAGTATTGTGTATTATGTAAGCACATACTATACTTAATTGAGTCTATATGTGAGACTAATGAACACATGCTTTGAAGTATAATAAGAAAGTGAAATTATATAAGGAAAATCCCCCCAATGAGATAATTTACAGGAAACTGTTTGACAGACATCAACTATGTTGTTGCCAACATGTTATCCGAAAACAATGCACTAATAGTCGATAATAAGTTGCATTTTTAAGCACAAATTGCCACATAATAATGGCTACAAACATGACCATTCAGTTTTATGATTAAGGATGTGATAGTTCGTTCATGCGGTGGTATGACATATATCATACTCCTAACACAAGTATAGAATCTTTGTAAGACAAATATTTGTAATGTTCACTAATAACTATATATGCTTTCTTATATCTGCTCACATCATTGCCTCATATATCTGCTTATATCGGTCGAAACTCGATGCTGCTTATAATGAGTCCGGATAAAGTTCCTTCATAACTTATGAGCTTCAAATTAATAGAAACACAATCATCTTGAAGCTTATTACTTGAGTTGAATTGCCATACATTCACCTCCATCCATCCATTTTCCCTCTCAACTGGAACCCAATCCGTATCATTGACATTACATGGGCTTGGGGATCTAAAATAAATAATTCTTGTGTTTTTCTTTTTTCGGTTAGATAATTCTCGTACTATAACCGGGCAACGCAATCCATGACACTGTTCTGAAAGCTTGAACACAAGGTAACATGCATATTCTGTATCTGGTGACAGCCTTTGACTTTCAATCTTGCACTTGATACGAAATACTTGTTGTCTTGCAAGCTCAAGCACCTCTTCTTGGGATCTGGATGTATGGTAGCATGATTAGATACTTTTTGGAGAAGGATCAAGCAATACACAAGAATATGATTAAAAATATATAATAAACTATTTATATATAAATGAGTAAGCTCCAACTATTTAAGTCAGAATTGTTGAGAACAAATTAACCAGAATTAGTCAAAAAAATGAAATAAACACACCTGAACTGGGTTGAGTTTATGGAATTAAAAAGCTTCATATTAGAAGATTCATAAAGAGCCTCCTTTGCCAAAAGCATATAATGCTTCTTTTTGTTCTCTTCCTTTAGCGTGCTTAACTGTCATAAAGTCAATATAATTTATTACCAAAATCTCAAGATTTACTTATTTTTATTTATATATTTTTTTTAAATTCTACTGCACATAAAAGATGATAGAAGTCCAAAGGACCTTTTCAACTTCTTCAGAAGTAGGTGGCAACTGTTGCTCCTGGTACACGTTCAAGTCTGATTTACAGCTTTGTTGGCTTTCCTTTAATACCTTGATTTCTTCATGTTTCACCTGTATAAAATATGTAAAATAATGTTTTATATATATATATATATATATATATATATATATATATATATATATATATATATATATATATATATATATATATAGATAGATAGATAGAACATGACCAAAATGTGGTCAAATAGAATACTCAAACTTGCATTATTAATGGCTTGAAATTGAATGCCTTCAACATAAACATCACGACTTCCACAATAGCATCGTGAAAAGCTCTCTAGTAGAAACTCAAATTTAGTATCTTCTTTGCAGTTTGAGAATCGACACAATTCGATTTTCATCCACCCATCTTCTCTCCATGTTGCGAAATGTGTATGTAAGGTTTCACTTCCCTTTTTATATTTGAGGTTCACATACATCCGTTTAGCTAAAGATCTTCTTGGACCACAAAATCTAAATACCAGATGAACACCATAATTGACACCCGGAGATAAAAATTGAGCTTTTGACTTTATCTGGAGCCTTAGATTTGAAATATTTGATATCTCTGCTACTTCATGAAACCTGCATATACATATTATAAGGTATCTAAATTAGTCATAGCCTCTAATCTCTACGCCCACACAATAGACACTTTTATTTTTGGATTGATGTCTTCCACCCCAAATAAATGGATACCTTTCAATCTTTTGAACAAGAGTTAAAATTTACATTTATTAATTAACATTGTATCAATAAACATTTAGATTATAAATAACATAGATTCTTGTGTCATAATATTCTCTATTGTTTCATTGTAGATTGGTAATTTTTATAGTAAATCTGTGAACCACCCACTTTGAATTATATGCTTTGTTACCTAAATGTTGAAAAAACGTATCTGTAACATTGTGCCAAAACGTACACTTGGTAAATGTATTTGTTACACTACATACTTCTTTCTCTTTAATGAATTGTAGATATTCTATACTTCTTTATAATACTTCTTTCTATTTAATAGTACAGCGTAAATGTAAACTATTTTCTGTTTCGTAACTTGTTATGTAAAAAATCAGGAACTTTTTAGAAAAAAATGAGACCCTCATTATTCTGGAAGTTAAAAAATGCAATGTAATAAACACTCGTCATAATCAAAATGGAAAGGCAATTGAATGTAACATTAACAAAACAGAACAATATATAAATCTAACAATGGTAAATGTTTGAACGTGCATAAAACACACACACACACCTTGATTTTGGAACAATTCCAGATGGCCATTTATGTGACCGACGGTGCTTGTATAGGAGCTTTCTGGCTGATATCATTTCATTTCGATCTCCATTATCGTCTAATGAAAACAACTGTTATGCAAAACAAAACAAAATAAATCAAACCCAAGTTATGTTATGTTTGAACACCTGTATATATGATTTGCTATAATCTCCCTACCAATAGTTGTTTTATATCTATTCTGTAATAAAGAGATCCATTCAGGCAAAAAGGATCCACATAAAGCATAAATCAATGAAAACTAATATTTAGCTTGAAGTAGATCATGCATGAGCAAGAATAGTAATTGGGTTCTAAAGTTGGAGGTTTTTGGTTAATTCAAAATATTTTAAATTTTGAAACTCAAGTGATGAAGTTACTTAATCTTATATATTCTAAGACCATCCGTTATACCCACCACTAACCACTTTAGTGGTGAGTGCCACATCATCACCACACACAACCACTAAAAGGTTGGTATACCCACCACTATAACCGTCTTATTAATTGATTTTTAAATAAATATATATATATATATATATATATATATATATATTATTGTAGAGAGAGATAGAGAAAGTTAAGAGAGAGATAGAGAGAGAAAGAAATGTATTGGACGTTGGCTTCCGTTGTGTGCACCACAATCCACCACTACCACTAAGTAATGGGATGGTGTGCACTATAGTGGTTAGTGGCCATTTAGACCACAAAAGGGCTAGTCCTTGGTATACCAGATGGCCTAAGCAAATGCAAGGAATGCACGGAGCACCAAATGGATTGGACATATCATATAAAGAAGGATCTAATTACCACTTTGCCCTTTTGAAGGAGGATTCCTTCGGAAAGCATGTCGTGAAGGTCCTTTTTCTTTTTACTCAAGTAGTTTTCAGATTCTTTTGACATCTTGAATATTTCTTCATAGTCATGAGGCAATTTGGGTCTCCATATTTCATAATCATCCTGTATATCAGTTAAACATTAAAAGAAAATCATATTTTTCTTTTTCTTATTCATGAAAAACTAGAGTTTAAGATGTTTAGATCAGTACTAACTTTTCATTTAGTTATGTTTTGATACACTTGAAGTAAATTCTGAAATAATGACATTTTCCTAATTAGAATATGAAAACTTACCTGTAATTTCAATGCTTCCTCAAGTCGTAGGAGCACGTTACCTGTAGTAGGTCGGTTTTGTCGTAGATCATCCACACATTCATTGGCGAGTTTTTGGAATGCAGTCAATGATTCTGGCGCAATTTGTTCCTTTATATACTTAAACACCATATCACCAAGTTTTCCTTTTCTATAATGGCGTTTAAACGTATCTATTAGGATTTTAATTTGGCCATTGATGTCTTCGAACATCAATCTCCCACACAAGATCTCAAATAAAAGCACTCCGAATGAGTATATATCAGATGCTTTCTTAAAGACACCATCTGCAAGGTATTGTGGGTCACAATAGCCTTTTGTGCCACAAGCATTGTCGATCACATCCTCATTTACTGAAGTTATTGAGGAAAGCCCAAAATCAGAAATTTTTGCTTTCCAATCCTCACCTAATAGAATGTTTGGACTCTTGATATCCCTATGCATCACCACCTCTTGTGTTGCACCACCCCCATGAAGGAAATCTAAACCACGTGCAATATCAATGCATATCTCCAGCCGTTTCCTCCATGTAAGATCCTTGTTGCCCAAATGCCAGTCGAGACTTCCTTTTGACGCATACTCATAAACAATGATTTTTTCACCAGGTTGGTTGCAATAACCTACAAGACCAATCACATTTCTATGTTTGTACTCTAAAAGAATTTCAAGTTCTGTTAAAAATTCAGTTTCTCCTTGACCACCAGCTGTATCCAATCGCTTTGCAGCTATATTGGTGTGACGTCCATCAATGCTTGTAACTTCTCCTCTGTAAACCCTCCCGAATCCTCCTCTTCCAATGCGATTGTTATTACTGAAGTCATTTGTGGACAATTTAATGTCTTCAAGTGAAATTTGGAGGTTATCCTTGTGGTTTTTCTGTGAATCATGAGACACCCCAATCAATATGAAAAACTCAAAGATAAACTGAAAGTAATTCTTATCTAAAACTGATTTGATTAGCTATCTTGAATTTTAGGTACTCAATTTTGTGTCTATCGACGTGTTCAATGACCATTGAAATGTCCAAGTTAATTTTTTTTTTCTAACAATGCATGAAGGATCAAGTATATATGAAGAGAAAATTGACTTACTTGAAGTTGTAATGCATTCTTGAGTTTCTCGACGACAATTCCAATTTTTGGACGCTTTTTATGAGTTTCTGCCAAACATCGATATGCGATATCTAGAAATGTCTCCAGAGAATCTTGATTGGGCCCTTTACTTAAAGTAAAAATGTTTTCATCAAATTCTTCCATTATTTTAGAATCTAGCATATCCTTTTGTGTTCCTTTCTGAAAGTGTTGCCGGACAAAGGGTGCGAGCCCCTTGTCATTTTTATTCGTGTAAGCTTGAGCATATGCCAAACTCCCAGACAAGATCTCAAAGAAAACTACCCCCAATGAATAGATATCTGATGCTTTTTTCAGCTTACGCGTCTTCTCATATTCTGGATCCAAGTACACATTTGTACCTGCAACATTTGTCTCGAGATAACTGGCCTGTTGAGACAAGGGACTGATTTTGGAGAGCCCAAAGTCAGCAATCTTTGCCACAAGATTATCATCCAACAGAATGTTGTCACTCTTTATGTCTCGGTGTATTATGCTTTGTTCGGTGTGAAGGTAATTTAGTCCTTGTGCAATATCAAGACAAATCTGTAGACGTTGCTCCCATTTAAGACTATTCATTTTATCATAACTTCTTAAATGGTCATCCAGGCTTCCATTAGAGACATACTCATAGACAAGGATCAGGTCAGAACCTTCTTCATCACAAAAGCCAAGAAGAGAGACTATGTTGGGATGCTTACAACTCGTAAGTGTTTGAATCTCTGCAGAGAACCCTTCTTCTGCTTGTGTGTCGTTTCTTTTGAAGAGGCATTTTATAGCTACGGTGCTGCGTATCTTTGGCAGATCACACTTATTATTCCCATCTATCTCCAAGGAATTTTTGCCATCAAAATGTTCGAGTTCTGCTTTGTACACTTTACCATATCCACCTTCCCCAATGCATTGTGTCTGAGAAAAATTATCGGTGGCCACCCCTATATCATGAGAGCTGATCTTCAAGTGTTCCAAGTTTTTCCACTGCAAGACAACATTGTGTGTTATTAATGGATATATTGTGTCACCGACTATGATTATTCTTTTTTTATTTAATCTTGATTTCTTTCCAAAAAGTTGAAATATCAACTCTCATTCAATTTTGTCAAATCGTTTTTGCAATGAATCTTAAACATCAATCCAATTTCGAAAAAAAAAATCGAAAATGCTTCCTACTAATATATCAATAGCTGAAAAAAAAAAAGTAAATTGATTGAATAAAATAAAATAGGAGTGTACTTTCATATAATAAGTTAATAAAATAGTGGGAGTAAGGCTTTCAATATTTGCAAAAGGATATTGAAGACCTGTGTAGATACTCAAACTTGCTTGCGGATTTCAGTTTTGACGCAAACTATATCGGATTCCCATGCGTTGGTGTTAATTTATTAATCATACATAACTTCATTTAACTAATGATCTCTTACACATAGACACTTTTTTTGTATATTTTGTATTACACCGAGTCTATTACTGTAAATATCTAATATTAATATGAACCACTGTAATTAATATAAATTAAAAAGTATGGGAAACAAAAATGTAATTAACTCACTATATTTATAAAGTACATATAAAAAAATGTTACGTATCTTTAAGTAAAAATAAGACAAATTTTAGATAAAAATCCTCAAGTCATAACCTTGTGTAGAATTGAAAACAACTTACTTACAGTCTTACAGTTAATACAAGAGAAAATGTATAAAATAGCAATTTTCTTTAATATATTTTTAAAAAAATAGCCAAAAACAAGGTAATCGTCTACTCTAATAAATGAAGCTTTTTTGTCACATGTCTTCTTCTCCTTTATTTTGACACATGTCATTTTGTAGGAGTTTTAGAATTATTATTTTCCACTTGTCATTTTTTGGGAATTTGAATTTTTTTTAAAATAAAATTTCATAAAATTCTAAAGAGTTTTATAAGGAAAGAGAATCATTCAAAGAATTTTTTATTTCTTTTATAAATGTTCCAAAAGATTACATTATCTTATATAAAAGTATTATTTTATAAAATATTTAATGTTTAAATATTGATATTAAATTTTTATTTTTAATAAACTCGTGTAATGCACGGTCTTATAGCTAGTTTAGATAAAAGTCATTGAAACCTAACCTGCCAATTGAGGTTCTTGTTTTGTAGTGTTAATGGGATGAAGTTTCGGCTCAATTACCAGGCCCAAATGTGAAGTATTTAAGTCAAAAAAAAATTTAAAACTTTTTATTTAAACGGATTTTTTGTTGAGCAAAGCGTAGATGGAGAAACATATCTACGGTTTCCTCTCTCATCTATGGTTTGTTCTTCAATTTTTGGATTTAATAAAAAACAAATTCAAGTTTTTCTTTTTAATTATTTATTTGTTTGTATTAAATGGAACAAACAACAATTTACCTTTATTGATTCAATGATTTGTTTATTACATAAATTTTACTTTGTTTTATTTTCATTAGAATGTATTTGGAAAGAATGATTTATTATAATTAACGCAATCCTAAAATAAAACAGTTTTAATTTACTGGTATAAAAACATATAAGTTTTTTTCAAAATATAATGTCCCGAAAAGTAAAATATATTTAAACTTTAATAAAAAAAATTAAATATCATAAAATGTGTCATAGTAATTTTTGTACACATTTATTTAACCAGTCTCAAAACATCATTTTGCTATATAAGTTTCCTACAAACAAATAAATAATTAAAAAACTAAAAAAAACGAAATTGAACAGAAAACTATATATGAAGAGAGAGGCATTTCTCCATCTACAGTAAACTAAAAACCGTTTAGATAAAAAAAAATTCAGAAAAAATGCTTTAAATATTACATATATATTGGCATGAGCTTTGGGCCGAAACCACAGCCCATTAACACCACAAGGAGGAAACCCAACTTGGAGGCTAGGTGAGGCCGTGAGGGGTTTAAAACTTTAAATGGCTATTTACACATATCCCATCATTAAGGTTTTTTTTTTTTTTTTTTTTTTTTTTTTTTTTTTTTTTTTTTTAGCAACATCCTTTTTAAGTTATCCTACGTTAGCTATTTTTTAAAAAGTAATTAATTGAAATGGATGTTTTATGCATTTTCTCTTACTATCGCATAGTTTCAGAAGATGCTTTTTCTGTAATAAATAATTTATATTTCCGGTCTTCATTAGCAAAGGCATTGACAATTTGACATGATATATATATATATATATATATATATATATATATATATATATATATATATATATATATATATATATATATATATATATATATATATAGGATCATATATCAGATGTTTTAAAATTAGTGTAGGATAACAAAATAACCTGAAAATGAATCAGTTAATTACCTCCAATCGATTGGTTGATGTCCCTTCAACTTCACCAGCACCTTGAGAGTGTTGATTCAGTATACCCTGCAACCGATCCAATTAATGGGAATTGGATATATAACTATATCGACAGATGAAAGAAAACAAAACAAAAAGCGGGGAAGGAAAAGAATATAATTAGAATAATGGGCTTACAGGATTTTCATGTTTCCATTGAAGATCCAGCGCTTGTCGAAGTCTAATGACAATATGATCTATATCTGGGCGGTCTGACCGTTGATCCTTCAAGCAGTCATAGGCTATTTTTTGAAAAGACTTCAAGTGATAGTGGGTCCATGTTTTTCCGTAGATCAGGATCGATGAGATCATGTAGTTTTTTCTGTTTATAAAGAGATATGGCCAATGGAGCTAATAAAATGTTCTTCTGGAATACACAGGTGCCCAAGCCTCTGTTCATAATGGAATCTGGCAGACGGAGCTAAGGTAAACATGCACATGTCAAGGGGATTTAGTGCAGGACGTTGTTGCGTATGGACGTTAGAATCAGATTCATTCTCTCGGTATGCATTAGGGTAAAACTTCTTGAACTTCTTTCCCACCAGACTCATTCCTACAAACTCCATTGGGTCTGGAAAGCTGTTTGATGATTCGTTTGTATTTGATCGGTTTCCAGGTGCTAAGTCGACGAATGATGTGGTGCGTGATGCTACTGAAAAGTTCCTTATAACGTCGGTCAGGGATGGTGGCGCATCTGGTACTGATAAATTCTTGATTCCTAGCGGCCTCAGTGTCCCCGTTTGTTTAAATGTTTCGGAATATAACGGCGGCGGTATATGTCCTGATAAATTCCTGGTTGATGTCGTTCGAATTCGTCCTGAAAAGTTGCTTAACGGAATTGTATCATCTAAGTTGCTAGATGCTGTTCCATCAGCTAAGTTGACAGATGATTTTGTGTGTGATGCTACTGAGAAGTTTCTCGATGGTGACGCTGGCATTGGTACTGATAGATCCCTAGTTGATGGCATTTGTATTTGACTTTTTGATGGAGGCCGATTTTCAAATGTTGATGAACTGATGTTTAGTTTTCTTACAAATGAGCTGTCCTTTGGTGTGGGCTCCCTGCCCTCTGATGAGGATGAGACCTTTTGTCCGGTAATGTTTCCAGCTACATCCGGGGAGCCCTCTCTGGAACGTTGTTTGGCCAGTTTAGGAGAGTGTCTCTCATGATCCACCACGACATCAGCTGATACTTTTTGCAAATCTTGTTTTTCCAGTTGAGCTGAAACCCACTCGGGATTATTGAATGCTCTCCTCCCACACAGGACTTCAAATAATACAACCCCTAAAGAGTACACGTCGGACTTGTGTGTGACGCCTCCTGTCTTTTCATATCTTGGGTCGATATACCCTATTGTGCCACTCAGACGATCAAGGAGAAGCCGGTGTCTTCGAGCTGTTGTATTCTTCATGGATAGTTCAAAACCTGATAACTTGGGCTTCCAGTTGTCATCTAGTAAGATTTTTGAACTCTTGATATTACGATGTATCACGCTAAAATCGCGTTGCTCATCGTAATGGACGTACTTCAATGCACACGCAACACCAACACATATCTCCAGTCTGCGCATCCATGTCAAGGTCGGGTCTGCCAGATATCTGTCGAGACTTCCATGGGTCTCATACTTGTTTATTATGATCTTCTCGCCCTTCTCATCACAATACCCTATGAGAGAGACAAGATTGTCATGCTTGAGAGCAGAAAGCAATGTAACCTCCATTAAAAACTCTTTTTTTCCTTGCCTGTACTCTGGATCTAACCTTCGTGCAACAATGTCGATTGGTTGACCGGATCGAAGGAGTTGTCCTTTGTAAGCCTTTCCGAATCCACCTCGTCTGATGAGATTTTCATCAGAAAAGTTGTTGGTGGCGGATTCTATATCTTCAAATGGGATTTTTAAGTCACCGTTTATTTTGGAAGATGAAGAAGACATGATGTTTGTGTGTTATCATCAAGTAAAAAGGAGAGAGGGCAACAAATGCATTATGTGAAGGGGAAGACGACTTTCGATGTGTATATAATTAAGTCCAGCGAACCTAATCCATCCCTAGTTTTTGTATTTTAGTCCTAATAGTAGATCCACAAGTTGCAGTATACTGTAAACAATATAAATTATCAGTCTATAAAACAAGATTAAAAACTAAAAGTATAAATGCAAGCAGGGCATGCGATTAAGATACTTGAAAGTTGCTTATTCAACTCTGACATCTTCTAGCTATCACAAATACAACAAGTCAACAACTATTAACAAATAACAAACGTTAATAAACCAAATTTAGTAGACTTTGTTTTATTATATTCCCTCATCTTAGATGTTGTTTATACTATTTATTAGTATACATCGATCTTTAAATCATTAAATAGATCGAATCAAATATAAATATATGCTGAATTAGGTTAGGATGACTATTGCCTGGTACCTGCTGGCTGCTACTACGTACCATGAAGTTTGACACGTCAACTTATACTCTTATACAAACAATTTTGAGTATTAATAAACTATTAACTAAAAAAAAATAAACTATTAACTAACATTGATTCTTAATGTTCAAATTTATTGCCCAAAAATGACCTCCATCTAGGGTTGTTATAAAGTTGACCATTCATTTCCCACTAAAATCCTTTACGAAATTCCAGACTTCCAAAATATCATTTCCGTTTTTAAGATACTTTTCAGATTTTTCTCAGGGTAATATTTATTCATTTTCATTGAGAAACGCGTTTCGATATAACTCGCTTAGCACTCCATCTTGGACTTTTGAAATTTCTTTGTTGACAATTTGATTTTTAAGGTCTCACCATAATAATAATATAATCTTCGAAGGTTTTTTTTTTTTTTTGTCACTTGTTAAATTCTCAAGAGTTTTGCCACATATAGGGCGTGTTTGGCATGAAGCTTTTGGAAGCGTTTGGGAGCTTCTAGCTTTTAGCTTTTGACAAAACGCTCTAGTTTAAACAAAAAGCTTCGTTTGGCGGTACGAGCGTTTAGCTTTTAGTTTAAACAAAACGCTCAAATTCTAAAAGCTACTTCATGTAGTGTTTAACAAAACGCTACTGAGCTTTTGAAATCAATTTCCATAATTATCCTTAAAAATATATTTATATATTTATTTATTTTTAATCAATTGTTTTTTATGTAATTTTATATATTTCAAAAGCTTCTAGCTACTTTTGCCAAACATTCATATAACAAATAAAAGTTACAACTTCCCGTTACCAGCTACCCGCTACACGCTACCAGCTACCCGCTACCAGCTAACCGCTACCCGCTTCCAGTTAACAGTTACTTTTGCCAAACACGCCCATAATTTTGTGGGAGTTTTAGAATTATTATTTTCCACTTGTCATTTTTTGAAAATTTCCATTTTTTAAAATAAAATTCCACAAAAATCTAACGAGTTTTATAAGGAAAGAGAATCATTCTATTAATTCTATGATAAAGTCTCATAAATGCTCTAAAGAATATTTGATTTCTTTTATAAATGTTTCAAAAGATTACATTATGTTATGTAAAAATGTTATTTTATAAAATATTTAATGTTTAAATATTGATATTAAATTTTTATTTTTAATAAACATGTGTAGTACACGGGTTTTACACCTACTAATAATAATAATAATAATAATAACCCTCAAAATGAGCTGACAAAAGTTATGAATCTTTATAAGACAGGAGGGTATGGGAGGGATGTTTCCCTCACTTTTTGTAGGTCACACCATCATTTCCCTCACTTTCCTTTCCTTCACCTAAAACCCAAGGAATGGGTGGGAACTGGGAAGCTCTCCTCACTATTTTTTTATTTTTTTTAATATATTTCATACATATATTATATATATTTTGTAGGAAATTAAAAACCATGAATTTTGATATATTTTTTTAGTAGGTATATAATTTTATAAATATTAAAAAAGATTAAAAAAAAATTGTTCAATAGCATGAAGAGAGAGAGAGTGCGGCACCCCCTCCCCCCACCTCTTTCCCGCGGGTTGCTTCCCTCACCCAAGGGATGGTGTTCTAGAGTGAGGGAAGCTTCCCTCACCCATTTCCCGCTATGATACCGTCCACCCTAATTAATATAGTTTCACGATTTATTATGAAATTTGGAAAAAAAAATATTGTTATTGAAAAAATAAAATCTCCTCTACCTATTCTAGTAATAATTGGGACAATTGGTGTTATAACACGTCTCTGTAATTTGTTGTTTTGGCTAGCTTCTCGCTAGTTTAGTTGAATGAATTTATGATGTTAAAAAAAAAAAAGATTTCTTAAAAATGCCACATGTTCTTTTTTTTACACCAGTAATTGTCACGTGTCAACTTCTCCTAAACATTTTACTTTTATTTCCACCGATTCCTTTAACCAAGATTCATCCTTAAAAATCAACCCTTAAAATAAAAATTATTAATAATCTATAATCCCAATTAATCAGCAATAATTATTTTAAATTTCATTCAATTTGATCTGTATAAATTTTGGAAAAATTACAACCTTTTTATGATAACCATGTTTCCTTAAAATGGTCGTCGGTCTCCCAATCATTTTCTCTCTTAAAACACATGACTCTCTCCTATCATCAACTCCCATCTTCATCAGCCATCAACGCCACCACCTGCATACTACCATATTACGCAACAAACTGTGTCTAAGAAAAGAAAAGAATTCTTGAAACTTCATAATTTGAAGTAAGTCATGTTCACCTTTGAATCTGGATTCCTTGTAATCTTCATCTCCAAAAAAAACCTTATTCTTCAAATATGGAAGACATGTATTTTTAATTTCCTCCCAACAGCAACATAGTTTTTTTTAATAGCTAGCCATAACAGCCTATAAACAATGACTATTTCTATTTAGGGCTTTCTGAAGGTTGTTGATTTGGTTACTAACAATCTTTGTGTGTGGCTTTTTGGTTCTTAGCGCGTCAGATGATTTAAGGCATGAGACATTGGAACAATAGTACTTATTAGTTGGTAGTAGGGCTTTTTTCCATTTCTTGATTTAATCTCAATTAATGGCTTTTTGAGGGATCATGAGGAGACATCTCAGCCAAATTTAGGATTGGGAAAACTCACAATGTATGTAAACTTTTTTGGGCAATGGTTAAATAAATAATTTTGCAGAATTTATTCGATTTGATAATTAAGAAGCATATGTCATAAAAGTTTTACACATACATAGCAGGTAAACGAGTAACAAGTCGGTTTGGAACCCTTTTTGGATGGTGTATGGGTTTTGAACCTCAATTAAGGAAGATTGTAAATGAGATACCTCCTCATAGGAAAACTCTCATGTATATTGCCTTATACACTTTAT